TCAATTTTCGTCGTTTTATCTTATGTTGTAAACCAAGTTAAATAACTGCTAGAAAACATTAAGAAATTATAGAAATTTTTCTTTGTTTAAATTTATGTGTGATATAAATATATATTTTTATCAAAGGCATTGTCAGGTGTATGTGTTTGTTTTTCCATTTACTAATATTTCCTTCATTTTGTTCATAAACATGTATCACGTTGAATATATCGTTTTGTCGTGTAAGTATGACTATAACATAAATAGTCTATGGATACGAAAAATGAAATTTTTATCATGACAAGAATCTGATGGCGAGTCTGAGAGAGTCAATCATTTGTATGGAAGCAAACAATGATTTATTGTATAAATTGTGGTTAAATATGATTGTCATTGAGAAAATTTGTTAGAACGTCAATATTAAAACTAGAAATACTAGGACATTTATATTTACGTCTTCAATTATCAATAAATAGCTGGAGAATAGAATAGACAAATAATATCGAGAAAGATCATTATACTATTATTATGTATATCTCGAAGTTTAAAAAAAATTTCTTGTTGGGAAGAATATTTCGTTCAAAATATTTTCATAGTGATATCAGCTAAAACTGTATGTGATTTAATCAAATATTGTTGACAATTCTATATCCTTCTTTCGCTGTTGTTCATACTATATTATACCTTTTTCGATATTTTTGGATAACGGCTCATGAGAAAATATTGAAAGTAGATGGATCTACATGAGTAAAACAAACACTGTCACATAGACTTAACTCTGGCGCAAATTGAATTCGCAAGTCCAAAAAATACTACCCTCTTTTCTCAGTGACAATGCGTCTGATAAGGCTGAAAATTTATTTTTACAGATATTAAACATTGATGAAGTGCATTACTTTTTTAGTTTTATTTTATCTCTGTCGGTTCGAATAAAAATAGCAAAACTCTGCGATCATTCTTAAAAAAAAGCATGTTTTTTACTTTGTAAAGCCTAAAAAAGATCAGCAATATAAAATCATATTTTAAAACAAAAAGTAAACACCCTAAACACTTTCTAGTATAAGTAAAAGAAAGTTTCAGCGCCATCGGATGTACCATGACTGAGGAATGGTGCCGACTCTTAACTTTCTTTGTCAAAAAAATCATTTTTTTTCAAAAACACCGAAATGATTTGTTAGTGTTGATATTTCTCAACGAAAATGTTCTATCTTTCACCTTTTAGAGACTTATATATTTATTGTCGAAATATTTCCAGTCGATACAGCATACTTTGATGAAGATTTATTCTTTAGTTAATCTAATCATCTGAATGGAGTTTACGTATCCTGCCAATGATGAAATGTATAAACAATATGATAAACGTTACTAACAATGGAGGTTCGCGTACTGTAACCGAGCTAGACTTGATATTTTGGTGTCAAATGAAAGCTCTCACGGCCAAACTAACAAGGTTAAAATATTAGCGGCTGTTGGCTTGTGTAGAGTGAGATATTCGATTTTTACTGTATTTATAGTATATGTAGTATGTCCACAATTGAAAATTTTAGTAAAATTTATTTTTCTTTTTTCATGATGGTTGGATAGAGCTCGTTGAGTTGCATTAGAAAAAGTATGTTTCAAGTTTCAACAAGAGATTTTTAAAAATCTTAGACGAAAAGTCCAAGTTACTGGTATGTTCAAATATAAGGAAAAATAGCCTCAAAATTCCGATCGTGTGCAAGTTTTTTTAAAATCTCTTGTTGAAACTTGAAACATACTTTTTCTAATGCAACTCGACGAGCTCTATCCAACCATCATGAAAAAAGAAAAATAAATTCTACTAAAATTTTCAATTGTGGACATACTACATATACTATAAATACAGTAAAAATCGAATATCTCACTCTATACAAGCCAACAGCCGCTAATATTTTAACCTTGTTAGTTTGGCGGTGACAGCTTTCATTTGACACCAAAATATCAAGTCTAGCTCGGCTACAGTACGCGAACCTCCATTGTAAGATAAATAATTATTCTAGTTTCATTTCTGTTCATTTCTTAAAAAATCTCGGAAAGCTCTCTTAGAATTCTGGTAATTTCTGTCTGCAAGACTGCTCATGTTTATATGATTCGCAAGTAAAGAAAGAAAAATCTGAATATTTTCAGTTCTAAACTCCTTTTATTCACTTGATATTGATATGTTAATTAAGGCACAATATGCTTGAGCTTAGATAAAAGTTTCAATTAGACTGAATGCAGAACATCAACCATTTAAATGAGCAGGAATACAAAGAAAAAAGTTTGAAAATTCTTATTAATTACTGTTTTTTCCTCAAGTCAATAAATCGATTGGATAGAAGTCTTGTTATCCTAGAAAAACGCAAAAGCTTAATGAATGTGTGTAACTACTGGCACCATGTTACGCATACATTCAAGAATTCGTTTCACATGATATGCCTTTAGGCGTTCTCTAGATTAAATCATAATCGCGTTTAAACACATGATAGTTTATGCATGTACATGCATTTTATCATCGGATGCGTGAACATTTGATTATTTTAAGATATAATGATTGTTAGTTAGCTATCCAGCACGCATGCACATGGATGCTAATAATTAGGAAGAATTTGCAAAAGTTCACAGTTAAGCGTTTCGGGTCAATATATATGTAGTTATAGGAGAGCGATTCTCTTTTAACGAAAACTAAATAAATAGACGTTGGAAAAATGGAACAAAACTTTGCACGAATTAGCATTTACGCTTCAAGATAGCACAAGCTGGCATATTCGTACAAAGTCACTTCAATAATAATTTTCGTGCATGCGAGTTTTTTTTTGTAGCGACATGAACCGTTTAGCAGAGTTGTAATCATCTTGCAGAAAAACACAGATAACACCTTGATATTTTAATGCGAGTCATTCATCTTGCATGAATGTACTAGATTGTTGCATGTGAATATTTGTAAGGATAAGTTCTTTCATAACCTCGTATTTGTTACTTAAAAACTTAAAATCAGAGTTTTCAGACATGTGTTTGCAAAATGTACCTCTTTATATGTACTATTCTCCGACATTTGGATGTAACAGTTGCATTCTGACCAATCACACAAATCGTATTTCGCTTTTGTCTCAGTCATTTTATGACTGGTTTATTCGAGTAACATCTCATTTAAAGGAACCTATAAACAGAAAAAGATGAGAACTATCTTATCTCTCGAAGATAACGTTTAGAGTATCACAAATTTTTTTTTGTCCTATCTTGTAGGGAATTTTTTTGGGTGTGGGCATGAGTTTTCTGTTCGGTAACATTCACAGCTGCACTCATCCACATTGAAAATCTTATATCTCAGTGAGAAACGATTTCCTTTATATAAAGCTATGGCTGCAGAGATTAATTGATTTCGGCTATTGAATAGATACGGTTACACTTGAATTTGAAATTCGACCAGTTTATGCGAACTCATGATAGGCTGATGAATCCTCTTTTAACATAACAAAAGTCGAAGTAATCTTTAAAACTCATATCGGAAATTTTCACTATGAGACAATAAGAGCTCAAATGCGTAAATCTTTAATTGTATTTTTCTTAAGAAACGATGAAGACAGAAGCTAGAAGACTAAGTTTCGAGCTTCATTTTTCGTTTTAATGAGAAATAGCTATTACAATTGAATTGAGCAGCAGCTAAAATCTATTTTTGAAATTGATCTGGAGCAAAATTGTATCTTTGTTGAGTATTGTAATTTTAAGCATTTAAAACATTCAATTTTTCAATGGCAAGTTTTGATTCAAACATCTGTAAATGTCACATTGACACGGATAAACGTTCAAGTATGGAAAGCATCTTCATTTTTTATTGGTTATAGAACTGTTGAAAAACATCTCAACTTTGTAAAGCAGAAGTGCTTAGAAAGCTACTCAAAGAATATGTACTTTTTGTATTCGCTTTCTTTAGCATTGATTTAATTTCACTTCCGTAGAGAAGCAGCTAGGTCAACAAATCTGACGTTTTAATGGATGACCTTTATAGATGATCCCACATTATTTGTTTCAAGTGAAATACATATTTGAATAGGATGTTTAAGCCAGGTATGTTGTGTCGATATAGAGTGTCAATGATAACCCATTGAGAGCGTTTCCTGATAATGTCTTTCATCATTTATATTTTCTTCTTTGAGTTTATGATTATTTGCAATATTTTATTGAATTGGAATTAATTTAATACCACTGTGAAACACGATCTAAAATAAGTGCTGAAGCATATTGGAAATTTTAACACAGATTATATATACAAAAATGTCTTGATACAATATATGAGCTAATTCTCTATTGCACTTCGGAAGAATTATAGGGAGGATGAAAAAACATGTCATTGTAATCCCACTGGGGTTACACTAACAACTTTGCTTTCTTTTTTAGAACATGTGGTACGGGCGCAACTTCACATCTTTAAATGGGCCGGTACCATTAACCATTATAAAACTCAAAGAACATTATCTGGTAGCTAGCTTCCTTTACTTGATAGTCTGAATTTATTTACTTTCTCCTCAAATATAATCGCCAATTTTTTATTTTTATCTTTATTTTCTTTGTATTTTTCGTAATTATTCACGCTAATAAACTACATATAAAACATTTTATTCGTCTTCTTATGGACAACAATATGAATTAATTTCCGTTGAAGTTCACACCTTATGAAATACCCCTTGTGTGACATTAAATAAAAAGATCGAAGATGAAAACGGAATCGTTCAGATGAAAAATTATCTCAACATATTAGATAACAATCTATTAATTAAAGTCATGTATAACGAATTAGAGATAAACATGTTTTTCTTATTTTATTTTTAAACAAATCTCAGCCACTCAATTGAACTAGTTTAAGTTATGTAGACGATGAAGTAAAGCACAAAAATATGCCATAGTTTTCAATTATAGATAAACTTTTATGAGTAAAAATAATTCTTTTTTTTTCTTTAACATCAAATGTGTCCATATGTATACATATCAATGTTGAAAAAAACGACGAATAAAAATATCATATATTATACGTCTGATTCAAAAAATACTCGATTTATCATTTCTAAATTTATTGTAGAATGTTTATTAGATTCTATAGTAAATTTTCGATTATGATTATCATCATTGTGAAATGAAATTATGGTTGGAACATGTTGTTCTTTTATTGCTGTAGTACAATCACGCACAACTGGTTGTCGAGATGAACTAGTAGTAAGTGGTTCATCAATATATAGTGTATTCCATGGTGTATTATCTAAAAGATGTGCAATACAATCATGAGCATTAACATCAGATTGTTTATCAATATCATTATCATCATATTTATGCATAAATGGTTGAAGAGTTTGTAATGCAAATGTTGAATTAACATTATCATCTACATCATCAAGCATTGTTTTTGTTGATCGTAATGATATAAGTTCAATATCTACTGGAATATTTTCATAATTGATATTTCCATTTTTGACAATTTTTGATAATATATTATTAGTTAAATTTTGTTGCGAATTTCGATTATCTTGTGATATTGTGATTGAAAGACGTCTTAATTCATTTCGTCTTTGTAATAATTGAGCTTTTTTATGACGATGATGTTGAATAATAACAGGTAAAAGCATTAAAATACTTAAGCCATACATCATTGGAACAAATAATGGATTATATGATGGAAGAAAATCTTGTGATAAATTCGATGTAATATGATCATCTTTGATTATACGTAGATCTTTACATTGAATATCAAGATCATCTAATTGAAGAATAAAATGAAAACAAATAATAAATAAATTAAATGATTCTAGTGTATGATATTGATAAAATATTTCAATAGAATTTTCTTCAGTTTTATTTATCGATAAAAATAAACCAAATTTTAATTGTTCATGTCCAAATGAACGAAATGTAATAAAATAAGAATAATTTGTTGTTATATTATACAATAATATAATTGTATCATTTTCTCTATAATTTGCATCAATATATAATTGATTATTGGTCTTAGTTTGATTATTAGCTATGGATGTAACAGAATTCATTAAAAAATAAATAATAAAAATGATAATAATAGATAACATAAACCCGTTTTTTTGTTTGTTTAAGCTTAAATATTATTAAAAGTTCTCAATCATTCATCAATCTATTTATTGATCGTAAAAAAACAAAAAGTATAAAATTTTTCTGTTTTTTTTTAATATGAAATTTGTCTAACTATTGACTTTTCTTTTTCTATAAAATTTTATGCTTGTCTATTTTTTCTTCTCCTAATGACATTGAAACTTGCATTAGAAGAACCTGCAAAAAATATAGATAGTAAGTGACACAGCGAGAAAATAATGTCTGTTTCGTATTCATACAGCAGAGTATTGTTCTTATGACAATAAACCATGAGACGGTAAAAATTTCCTTGGGACTGTTTTCTTTCTTTTTTCTTCCAGAGAAAATAAGAAACCAAAGGTATGCTTATGTACTCTTATATATATTTTTTTTCTATTTGTATTTCCCTCTGTAATTTTTTTCCTATAAAAGTAATGTTAACGTTGAAACTTTTACGAACGACATTTGCAAGTCATCTCGAAAGAATCAAGAGAAAAATTATTTCCATATACTTAACTGAAGTGAAAGTTATAGATATTGTAATTACAAATAGATCTATGAAGCCTTATTCAAAAAAGACTAGAATATGAAGAGAAATAATTATGTATATTCAATACAGAAAAATTAATTATATACACACATAGATCATATTGATATGGAATTAATTTCGCGCTTTTTTTATTTTGTATTCAGCTCAACTATATGAAAAAAAGAACAAAGTTCAACTATGAGTAGAATACGAGAACTACTCCCGTAATTATTTTGAAATATTAACTGTTGTTCGTAAGAAGAAATAAAACTGATACGTCGATTCTCATCTCAAACTATTGAAATTTTTTCTATTACATTTACAGAAGATTTGTTTTAGTTCTATGACCATTTCTTACAATTTTAAGATACTTAGTATGAAGATAGCGTATGGAATGACATCTAATCTCATCTTTATTTTACAGCACAAGTTTCATGTTGTGATACTGCGTGTTTCATATGATTATTTGGTAGAATTGTAATACTTTCCTAAAGAAACAAAAATGAATAATTGTACTGAATATAAAAGTATCTGACTACTAGTTACACATGTCAACCGAAGTCAAAAATTCATAAATATAGACTTTTGGCAATCTATCATAACGACTATTGAGTCTGATTTCCATTTCGAAGTAACGAAAATTGCAGTATTGAATATGGAAAAATAATTCTATGATAGAAATGAACAATGATGGCCAGTGTTCTATCGAAAAGTTCTCATCACTTTGATTTTTCATCTGAATTAAAATGAAATCTTACACAAAACCATACTTTGAAATCGAATTCTTCATAAATGATATGAATTTTGTTGATTATTATTGTCATCGTTTGTTTAAAAATATGATTCTTGTTAACCTGAGGACGGGTTTTAAGATGTTCGCATGTTAAATAGACATTTTAATAAAAATTACAACGATATATCGATTATGTGCTATTATGTTTAATTAAACTCATCAGATATTTACAACTACTCTGTTAAAGCCCAGAAATTTACATATTCTTTCAAATAGAAAAATACTCAAAATCATAGAACGGAGATTCACAGAGAACATCAGGTAGCTAAATAAACTGTTGTTGAATTTTATTTCATGAATATCTCTCGAAAATGTCCTGGTATCTGAAAATTTCATTTCATTTGAATTTACCTAGCTCAAATTCAATTTTTGAGTCAGGATAAGAAACTTGAAGAAAAAAATTTTATCAAGTGAAAGATTAAATGAATATTATTATCATATGAAAAATATCTAATTTTTAGAAATATTTATCATTCTTAAAATCAAGAAAACAATTCAGATGAAATAAGCCGGAAGAAAAAAATTAATAAATCATATATGAAATAATGACACTCTAATAAATTCAACAAAATCATAAGGAAAAAGGAATGATAAAATGTCGAAAGATAAGTGGAAAGAAGTGTAAAACTGATTTGGTAATTTTTTTCATAAGCTATTCTACAGCGGCTTCACATTCTGTCAAACTATATAATTAATTTAAATTTCATTTGCTCTCCATTCCTTTGTCCGACGTTCACAATGTTTGACAGACATTTATATGTTTTCGTCTAGAACGATCTCAACTTAATTCTAGCTCTGTCTGTGATAGAGCTGGCGATGTGCATGTAATATGAAAAAAAAGAGAACTCGTTCAATGACAAACTAATGAGAAAAACTTTTCTTTTACCAGTTGTTTTTACAGAAAAAAAGAAATAACGGGACTTCTGGAAAAAGGCCATTAGACTCACTTTGTAGAGCAACGATTTGAAAATCGTCCACGTTATGACTCTTCAATGAAGTATTCATTTTGACTCAAATTTCCACGATATATGTAAAACAAAAAGTTCTATTAAGAATAAAAATTTTAACTTCTAAGCTTGTACCATTGAGGAGAAATTTTTTTTTTTTGGGTATAATTTAAATAAACAGGATATGAAAATTATTGAATTAAGTACAAAAAAAACTGCACCATGTGTATTTTTCATTACAGTCAGTGAAGTATAGAGAAAATTTTACCGCTTACTACAGACAGTGCACAATAAGATATTGTGCTCAGAAATTTTCTAGGCCTATTTCCATTTTTTTTAATGTGAATCGTACCAAAAAATTGCAATCCACTGGGACACAGAAAGAAATAAGTCAATTTTTTTCTCTTATGTATTCATAGTGTGTCATATCCTATTCAATTGACACGTAGTATTTTATTTGACATGTGTGACTATGTCAAACTTATTCAGTTGACTGTTATTTCTTTCATATTTCTTTGAAACGCCTTTTTTATTATTCGTTTTCTCTCTTGACCAATATTTGAAAATAGTTCAATTTAGATAAAATTAATTCAGATCGCTCAAAACTCCCTAAAACAAGGCCAATTTTGTGAAAAATATGAAAATTGACATAAATGCATGGGAAGAGGTCTCTAAGTATGAGTTTTCATAAATGACATGAGATTTTGTTCAGCATTTCATTTCTCCAACAACTTTCCCTCATTTGGTTTTTGAAAAATATGGATTATTTGAGTGTGTGAACACGGGTATAGATGCAATTATGTTCATATCGCTATGCATTCGGGTATGTTGGTCTCCACTTCAACAACTAAACTCACACTCACATAGATTTATTCATTTTCCAAAACATTCAAAGGATAGCTATAATGGGCATTGCGATTGAAAATTTCATAACTAAAAAAGTTCTTCGAAATCATCGCCTTTGATTGACCGATTTTTTTATGTAAAAGAGAGCGATCAGTGAAATATTATAAGATTTTGTTGCATCATTGAGAAAATTCCAGTTTTATAATTAATCTTTTATATTCTATCTCAAGCTACATAAATCATTTGAAAAATTTACAAAACGCATCAGCTGGCGACTTGCTCACCAATGATAATTGTTTTCAAAGCATAATCGATTATTAGAGAAATATTTTTGTTTTATTGATTTCGGTATTTCAAACAGAATTCTTTTTTCATTCTTTTTCCTAGCGCACTAGATTTTATTTGACTTGTCACTATCCATTCCTTATTTATTTTCTATTCAATTATTATTATTAGTTTTCTCAGCACCCTATTATGTAGCTCGATAAACTTTGAAACATTGATATTGATGATTTGCAGAGTGTGAAGATGGGTTAGAGACCTGCGGCGTCAACTTTTTTGATTGCGAAACCTAACTTCGATTCCGATTCCTACTTTGAAATTTATTATCATAGTCATTTGAAGATTAACCATTCCAAAAGCAGAAGGATTCATTTAACGCTTTTAGGCTAAAAAGTCATAGTTTTTCTTGACCAAAAAAGCAAATGTATGGATGTTATCATCTTTGAACTAGCTTTTTTTCTGAAGAGAATGCATTTTTGAATGTGTAAAAGATTCACCTTTTTACTCCTAAAAGTGCTGTAAAATGCTAGAAATTCCCTGAACTCGACAGTAAAAAAATTGCCATATCCTTTATTATTTAGCATTGAAAAATCCCATTTTCGACACATTTTTACTTCGTATAAAATTTATTAAGGATTCTATTTGAAATGATAACGTTATCACCCTGAAAAAATATTTTTAGGTACTCTGTATATTTGAATATTTGATTTATTTTGGATTTTTTAGGTTTTGGTTGTAATGAAATAGAGCCAAGTAATGTTGAATTCATGAACGAAAAATAATTATTTCAAATAGCATATGGGTAGTGGAATTCAATCAGAATTGTTAGTATGAGAACATTATTTATGGATATCAGCATGTAATCGAAAATATAATAGAGCAATGTAATCGATCATGAAAATGAAAAATTGAATCGAACACATACAAGATATTTATATCGTATGGTAAGTCTAATTCCGAATCAAATCTTTCATCTATTCAATTGATCAATATCATAGACAGACAATTCTAATTTTACTTATCTTCATATAAATAGAGCCTCCTCTAGAATAGAAGTGCTAAACACGATCAAACTGAATTCATTTCTTATAAACGAAGAGGTCATCAAAGTATGTCCTTTATGTTTACAGAATGAGAACGAATTGCTTCTCTCTCTACTAGATATAATAATAAAACATTATGTTAACTAAAAAGAGATATTTATCGAATATGCTGATTATGATTAGACTCCTGAGAGTAGACCTTGTTAGATCCAAAATCTTGCAAGCCAGATCAGTCGAACCGTACAATGATACTCTCAATGAAATTTTCTAATTGGCATTAGAAAGTTTTCTTGAAAATAAAAGATACTGGTTGTCAATTTTTTGTATTCGGTAGCTAGTGCACCCAACATTTTCTTTGTATTGTTAAAAGTAATTTGATCTAATTGTTTAGTAATGAACGAATATATATATATGAATGGTATTTCGTCGGTATGGAAAGAAATCAAATATAGCCTTTCGTTTTCATATGGTGTCTCCCTCTTTTAAATACAATACCTTCGAAAGACATACAATTGGTGAATACTTTTTTTTTAAAGGAGGCGCTGTGATATTTTATTTTATATCTACTTTATGGCTGATATGAAACATTAAATTTAGATATTTTGAAAAGAATTTATCATAAAACAAACGAATGTATTTGTCAGACGAAGTTATTTATGTTTGTTTATTGCTTGTATCAATACCGATTGGATTTCTTTTCAAAAATTCTCGTCATACAAATTTCAAAGCATACTCTTCGACATTAATTGGTTTTATTTTTGCATTAATAGTTTGTCGTTGGGATGTTTTACATTCATTAATAACAACATCTGTAACTTGTCTTATATTAGCCAGTGTGACGGCAAGGTAAAAAATTTTTTTTATTTTAAGAAATTCATACTATTCATTTTTCTATTTATATAGATATGTTCATATAGCAACATTTATTTGGTGTTTTTCATATTTATTATTTTTTCGTACAACGAATCTCTTTTCAATTCGATTACCTGTTGCACATAGTAATGCTATTCAATTAATGTTAACATTGAAAGTAAATAATTAAAAGAATGAAATTGATTCGATGTTGTTTAACATTTATTTTTTATTTGATTTTGATAGCTCGTTGGTATTGCTTTTGAATGGCATGATTCATATTTACGTTTGAAAACTATTCGTACACAAGCAAATGCAGATGAAAGTGAAAAATTACATTTACAAGATATGTATTTATCTGTGAAACCATCAACTTTAAGAGTATTTCAATATGCTTATTGTTATATTGGTCTTCTAACTGGTAAAATAGAAAATTTTTAGAATTAAACATATATATATGTGCGTGTGTTTTGCGTGTTTAGGGCCATATTATCGTTATAGAACATATCATGATTGGCTTGAAATGAAACATGGAGTACATATATTTGGTTTAACATTTATGAGAAAACGTGTTATATTTGGTTCAATATATATATTAACTTATTTACTTTTATCAACAATTGTTTCGTTTAATGTAATGATTTTATCAAATATCGCAGAAATAACCCATTTAAAAAATGAATAGAATATTTCTCTACAGTATTTTCTTTCTAACCTAAATTAATGATAGATTTTAAACTTCTGTAATATTATTCAAATTTTCTTGATTTTTATAATAATTTATTTGCAATCTTGGAGCTTTGCTAATCGAACTGACTTAACTAAGTAGAGTTTCGACGATGCCGATGAAAACCTTGTTAACGAAAAAGCTCTGTAACATTGAATCTGTCAAAACAAAAGTTCAGTGTTCTATCCAGCTTGAGGACTGATGAAATGGTTATTGTAACAAGTACGATGTGTCTATACTCCCAAAAACTAGGTTTTGGACTTCTCGGAGTTTTAAATCGCTCCTCTGCAATAAAAAAAAGCTGTATAAAATATTGAAGTCAATAGTGCTAAATTTTGAGTGTGTCAATAAGCTTAGCTCATTGCGTTAAAATATAAAGACAGATTATTTATTATTGTTTTAGTAGGTCATATCTGAGATGATCAGTATATATTAAATTTTAAAAAAAAATATATTTTTGATTAGGATGCACTTGATGACAAATTTTATACACATCCATTTTGGTATCGATTACTTTATATGCCACTTATATTTACATTATTTCGTTTTCGATTTTATTCAGCTTGGTTATTAGCTGAATGTATGTGTATGTCAGCAGGTTTTGGAGCTTATCCATTGACTAGTAAACCTAAACCAGGTAAGAAATTTAATTATACATATCAGATTTTATTAAAAAGTCTAAAGTGATTTTAATTTTGTAATTAGGTCAAGGTCCAACAGATCTTGTTGCTTTAAAACATGCGTAAGGTTTTATTCAATATTTTTATTGATTATTAAAATTATTTATTTTAGTTATGAACAAGCACCAAATACAATAGTTTATGATTTTGAAACTATTCATAATATAGATGAATGGAAATGTGAATCAGCATTAACAGTTAAAGAAGTACTTCGATATTGGAATATGAGTGTTCAATATTGGATGGCAACATGTGTTTATAAACGAATTAAATGGCGACAAATAGCGTAAATAAAACAAAAAAATTTATTTCTTATTTGATAAGCCTATTATCAATGAGTTTTTATAAATAAGCACTATCTGCTTTTATTCAACTGCTGGAGATGAGTGTTTATGTATGATTTATTTTTTTTCACGAACAAAAAATTTAAAAGAAATAATTAATCCGAATTGAGATCATATTGAATTATTTCAAAATAATAGAATATGAACAATAGTGGATTCTACGTTCTTAACAGTAGCACCATTTATTTATATCTTTAAGGGCACCTTCATCGCTTACGATTAAATTGGAGTACGTATTTTTCTTTTTCTTTGAAAAATATTGTTTCTAAGGCTCAGGAGAAGCAAAATACTGGAAGCACTATCAAAAACATGTTTCTTTCAATAGTGCTAACCATTTTAAGACTGTCAAGTTCGTAGGAACAATATTTTCAAGAAGGAAAAACACACGCACCTCAATTTACTGAAATACTCATAAAAATAATTTGAACCTAACCGGACATGTCGTGTGGAAGACATGACGAGAAAAGTTCGTTTTTTTTCGTTCAAAAATTTATTTTGAGAAAAATAAAAAAGAAACTTTTCTATGTGTATCAGAACTTCTTTTTTCTCTAACAACAGTGATCAAAAACTGGTCATGTTCAGCGATGTTAGAGACCCATGATCAATGCTCTCAACACTTTTAAAATAAGAAATAATCATCATCATGAGATTTGGAAAGGAACAACCCCTTAATTCAAGTACATGTGTCATACTTTTATTTAATCGAAATGTTTTTTTTTTTTTAATAATAATTTTCCTCATTATTATGATATTTTTAGTCACCCAGTTACTATGTCTGTTTCTGCTTATTGGCATGGTATTCATTTGGGTTATTATATGGGTATGGTGACAACAACACCATGTATTCTTGCTGAAAATGTTATGGAAGCTGGTGTACGTCGTCGTCTTCCAGCACATAGTCGATGGATTCGTGTTTATGATGTATGTTCATGGTTTTTTCGTACACGAATGTTTGATTATATGTCCATTGGTTTTATTCTTAAATATTTTCATTATACATGGAGATATTGGAAAAGTGTTTATTTTATTGGTCATGTTGTTACATTGACATTATATATTATTGGTATAATAGCAATACAAATACGACCAAAAGGCAAGAGAAAAGAAATTGTTAATAAAGATCTTGGTATTGGTGCACAACCAAAAGCATCCGAAGAACAACATCAACGACTTGAAAAAGAACAACACGAACATAAAAAAGAACTTTAATTTGTTTTCTGTTTATCTTCTCAAGAAAAAAGGAATTGAACAGAACAATCTGTGTTTTTTATTCTTTGTGTTTAAGTTTAAATTCTTTTTTTTTTCATTCGAATTTTATTTTAGATCAGTTTTACGAAAAAGAAAATAAAAAAAAAGTTATTTTATTGTTATACAAACGATAGGAAGTAGGTTTTTCTCTTTAGGCTATGTTTTTATCATGGCCGAAATGGATGTATTACAATCAAAAATTATTCAACAGAGTGAGTGACTTTTGGTAGACAATCATTGATTGTATTCTTAATATGCATAGCAAGCAAAAATTAATTATTGGAATAAAATTTGTATTATCACTATACTATGACAATGTTTTGTAATGATTGAGAATGAATGTTTCAGTGATTGGAATCAGGTACTTATTACTGATGCACGAAATAAATTTTTCAGAGACACAATTACTATCATATATTGAATAAATGATATCATTTTGAAATGTGATGTTAGAGATCATATGTATGTAGTGCAGTAGCGAATTGATAATATCCGTGCAATCAATTAAGTTTTAGTATTAAAACGTATGAAAAAATTCATGATATTCATTTAGAAATGGTGTATTCGATTGCGATATAATCAAGATGCTCGAGATCTATCAATTTAAGTTTCAAAACACAAAAATAACTTTGTCTTTGAGTTTTCATGAATTGGTATCTCTATGACTATCGTTTTTCATGCATTACAAATTATCAGTTCCATTGTGAATTAATAAATTTCAGTGACATTTGCTTGCTAGACAAATGGATTTTTTCCTATGATTTATCTTTGATTAATATGTGTTTAGACAGAAAAGTTTCTTAAAATTTGTTAACAATTAAAGATTAAAGAAAATGTTTTTTATAAAGAAAACTAATAATTAAAATGATCATGATATATTTCTTGTCTGTGTATAATTTTAATGTGTATAGTAGATAATCATATACAATAAAGATAAACGAACGTTATAGGAAGTATTCAATATCATATAAGTAAAATGATCATATTATTTTTTTTAATTCATCTACTCATTGATCAGTTATCTAGCAGCAAAATTGAAGTCAAGATTTTTTATCAAAAGCACTAAATTGATATTTTTCTAGAACTTGATATAGATTTTTGAAAAATTGATTTTATTTTTCATCGATAAGTTCAAAAGCAAAATTTTATTTTTATTTCTTTTATGTAGTCGAAGCTTATTTAACTGAAGATAATCTTAAAAATGATTATAATTTATCTAAATATGAATGTGAAAATGATGGTTGGATACCAATTCAACATTTAAATCATTTAAATAAATTATCAACATATAAATATGATACAATACTTAATGCTTTATGTTCAAAACGATCAAATATAATTGAAATAAATTTCTGTGAACCAATATGTATACGTCGTCGACGTCAACCATTATCAAAACCATCAATTGAACAAAATCCAAATTTATATCGAACTGTTGTTGTTAATGGTTTACCACGTGATGTTAAACATGAAGAATTAGTTGAATTTTTTAATCGTTTTTATCCTGTTTATAAAATAAAAATGCTTTCATCATCACGAACATCAAATTCTTTTAGTGGAAAAATTCATGTTATATTTGAAAAATGTCAAGATGCTATAGAATTTGTTAAAAAATCTGAATCAGTAGCAATTATTTATGTTAATGATTATGTACTTCAATTATGTAATGGTTATACACTTGTTTGTAGAATGTTAATTGATTGTGATGATAATGATGAAAATGATTTAATTAAACAAAAAGATCAATTACGTTTTAGTAATGGTAAATATTACCAGAAAAGTTTTTTTTTTTTAATTTATTAGATTTTAAAATTAATATTTGTTTTTAAGGACAAACATTTTCTCATCGACTTGCTAATAATCGACCTCGTGTTTCATTTAATACAAAGGTTTCCTTATCAAATGATCATCATGGTAATGAAAAAATTTATATTAACTTCTGACGAGGAAAGGTTTCCCAGTGATAAATTGCTTTTAAGCTAGAACTATATTCAATCGACAGGAGTTAGAGAGAAGAGAAATATCTTTTTGGTAATTCGACCTACTGGATCTTTCTTCGTGCGATATAAAGTCTTTGATGGATTTTTCCTGATGCATTCTAGTATTGAAATGAAATCATACCATTGAATTTTGCCTACATAAAGGCAATGATTAGACGAGTCAGTAGAAAAAATTTTAGAATTTTTTCATTAAGTATCTCCAAGATATGATTTGTTTAAAATATAAGCGGTTTACAATACTTATTGTAAAAACACAGATATTTTTAAAAACTCATATTTCAGAGATAGTTAGTCAAAAACTCTGAAACTGTTTCTAGAAGCTTATCTAACCGATATCTTTATGTGGGTATCATTTCAGGCCATAGTTCAAAAGTATGATTTCGTTTGAAATCCAATGTCCTACAGGAAAAATCCAATAAAACTTTGAAATTTTAGCAAGAGAGGCTCAGTAGTTTGAACTACTTTAGGGAATTTACCTATTCACTATGTCCTATCGATTTATCCCTCCGAGACATTTCCTCGTGAGTTCAATCAAAGTTTTCATTAGTAGTATCAAGCCGCAACGAAACTATAGAAGCAGAGTGAAGGCCAGAGTGTAATTAGTTATTACTCTACTGGAGTCTCAATCATTTTTTCAAGTAAATTATGAACAACTTAATTCTAGATTAAGAAAAGTGTTTGAATAATTATATATAGTTGTTTTGATGAAGAAAAAAATGAATAAGTTATTGAGATAAATTGAACGGATAAGATTATTTGTGTTTTAGTAGATCTAAGACAATTAATATCCTCGTAGAATTTCTCAATCTTCTTGTAGAGAATTCTTTGCTTTCAAAGCTAGTCAACCGCAACTTCTCTATGACTTCTATATCTTGCAAAAATGAACATAAAATTTGCGACCAGAGTTGTAATCATGCTCTAACTGAGTGTCAAGAATCATATGATTCTCGGAACAACCATATTTTATAGAGAAAATATTTGTCTTCAAAATGTGTCAGCTAAATACATTTGTTTCTTTTTTATGTTTCAAACATTATTATTTCTTTTGGGATCACATTTTACTAGTCTGTATCCAGCGTGAGAGAACCGTGCCCTTATTGAAGCTAGTGCTTATTATAGCATGTACTCCGTTTCTATACTTCAAAAAATAGATGTTTACCTTCCGGCGCCTTAAGTTGTCCCTCCAAAAGGAAAAGCTTTGATAAAATACAGTTGCAATATTTTGTTTTTCACCACCCGAATGCTTTCTCACATTCTGTTACCTCTATATAACGGGCTATACAGAGAGAATTGGCACCACTTTGCAACACATCAGTTGGCTAATGTAATCAACTTCTAATGCTTCGTTCGAAGTTTGAATCAGTCTAAATTTTCTCTAGTTTGGAGTAATATATTTGAAATTCTGCACCTTTTACATTTTGAAACCAGTTATTTTTAGACAACTTCAAGGAAGAAAGTAGCAATTTGAGCACTCAAGGTTTTGTAGCTTCTAATGTTTCTTCTTATTACAAAAGAAGAATATATGATTGTTTTTTGAATTATATATAAGTATAATTCACATAATACTCTGCTATTCTAAAAGAAACTTGTCTGATCAAGTTTAATACCAGAAAAAAACTCTGGCTATGAGCGACAATTTCTCTGCTGGATCTGTAAACATCACAATGAAAAAAAGATAATTATTTGATCTTATTGAATTTTTGTTGTTTTTTTTAGTTCGTCCAAAATTACAACCAATATCTTGTCAAACAAAATCTTGTTTAAAATCAAGTACATGTGCAACTGAACAAATCTTATTTTGTCAAAATACAACGAATAATAAATTATCTAAAGTACTTGAATATAAAAATCAATCAATTGTTTATAATCGTTTTTCATATGAATATTATATTCCTAATCATCTTCTTCAACAAACTCATGAATGTATGATTATAGCAGCATTAAATCCACATTGTTTTACAATTCAACTTAAACAAGATGCTATTGAATTTGATAAATTTCAACGTGAAATGAATGATTTTTATAATGAACTTGATGATAAACAATATTTAGTAACACCAGAACAAATACATATTAATTTATGTGTTATATGTGCTGATCCAAAATCATCAGATAATGATAAAATTTGGAATCGTTCACAAATACTTGATTTTGATTTAAATGATAAAACAGTTAATTTATTTTATGTTGATTTAGGTACATGGGATGAATATGTACCTATAAATCGTCTTCGTCATTTAATTGATTGTTTTCATCGTCATTTAGTTTTTTCATTAACATGTCGTTTAGCTCATATATCACCAATAAATAATGATCAAAATGATTTAACATGGTCAACTGATGCAACTGATCAATTTTTAGCTGTTATTGATCAAGTTTTACCTGAAATAGAATTTATATCATTTGGAGAAGATGGATGTTTTCAAACAAATTTATTTGTTATTAATTCAGGACAATATGTTTGTGTTAATGATTATATGATACATATTAAAAAAGCTAAAGCCATTATACAATCAATAGATATTGATGATAACAATAGAACTACTGTTCGAGTAAGAAAGAAATTTTTCAAATTTATTTAAAAGATTTTTCAATACTCTTATCCTCTAACTTCAGCTTTGTTGTTTGAAGAAATACTTTCAATAGAGAAAATTTTCTATTGAGTTTAACTCTTTCAATACTTGTATAGCAAAATGTATTATGCATTGACGATCAAAAATAATTACGTATGCATTAGAGTATGTACATTGTAGTGATATACATGTCATGTGGATTGCATAGGGTGTAGGTGTGACATGCTCATGTGCGTGAAGAGAAAACACTTATCCACAATAGATACGAATGTTCATATTGCAATGTAGATATATGCATGGCAAATCAGTTTTGAAACTATCATACTGTGATGTTTTGCGTTTCTTTTTCAAAAAAATAATTGCGTCTTGAAAGTTTTAAGAGAATCAATATTGACTATTCAAGTTCAAAGATCATATTTAATTGACAAGAGGAGTTCTTCAAGTTATAAATCACTTTTGAGTTGAGACTACGTGCATAATGTAGGTCCAAATAAACTGTGAATACTCTGAACAGAGTTTAGACTCTTAACATATTGCTACTGAGATAATGTACTTTTGCGGCATTCTTTTAAGATGATTGTTATGGTATTCTGAAAAACTAATTCTCAAATTTCACTTTGAAGTTTCGCATAGAGACAGACGTTACCTAAAATAGTTTCTTGTGAATGTTTCAGGTCGTTTTCGTTTTTTCTTATCTTCGAATACAGCGATGCTAAAAGTGTGTCTTTTACATCGCTACTATAGAACGGCAGATGTAATGTTCTTATTTCAGGACAGAAATACCGTAGAAGACCTGAAACTATACAAATTTTCAAGATGAAATTCGAAAATCAGTGTTTCTGTTACTTCGACATTCATTTTAAAAACTACTGTCAAAGGGAAGTATCTGCGCAGCAATAGGCTAAGGACTCCAACTATTTTACTTCTGCATGATGCATATAGTTCCGATTTGAAAGCAATGAATCAGTTAGAAAACTTTCCTCATGAGTCAGATATATTAGTAAAAATTCATTTCGTTTCTACAATCTTCAAATGAATTGGTTCTCATTGAATCAAATAAATGGTTCTTAACTCAGATTCGAAAGCAATTCGACAGTAGTTGACTAATAAAATAAATTCGAAACTAAACAAATCAAAATCTTATTTAATTGTTTACATCACTGTTTTTTTTTTAGTCTGACAGACATTGTGTCGTCAATAATAATCCATCCATCCATCCAGTTATTGCTTTATACAATCAATTAGGAGAGTAAGGAATACCTCAAACATCGGCATACAATAAACTCAATGGTTTTTTTTTAATTTTTTCTTTCTAGAGCTTTAAAACGATCTCTTGCTAAATCTCGGCCAGCTAGTTCAAATAATTCATCAACGCCATCTTCATGTATTCCAAGTAAACCTCTTGTTAAACTTATTCATATATCAACAAATAATAGTAATCAAAAATTAAATATCGAACATAAATTATCTATTATTTTTATATATTATCAAAAAACTATTTTCATACCTGATTTCAATATTTGCACTTTACTTAAACTAATCAATTCAAATATTGACATTGATATTGTTCAAGATTATGTAAGAAATATACATTTTCATTATATCAATCTACAACAAATATGTATTGTTTCTTTTTTTTTGTAGGCTTTAGCTATTAAATATCATTCTCAACATATAACACGTGAATGTAATTCTGATATATTTAATCAAATAGATTTATTAGTTTATGTTCAATCTTTAAATAGTATTACACTATATTCAATTGATTTTGTTCGTTTTATTCTCGAACATTATCATTTTCCAATAGGAAATGTATTTCTTGCATTAGACAATGCTAAATATGCTCAATTAAATACATTGGATCTCTCTTATTGGTTTACACTAGATAATGAAGTAAATTATTTTCTATTATAAATGTATTAAAACATATATTTTTCGGTATTTTTCTTTCTAGTTACCATCTGCATCCAATAGTTCCATAAAGTAAGTTTTTCTTGATATCATTTGAACAGTGTTTTATCCAGCGTGAGTTCGAAGGACGTAGTATTGAGTTGCCTCTTTCGGAATTGGTAGTTATTGTAGCATGTAGTATGTGCTTATTCTCTCAAAAAATAGTTGTTTGCCTTCTCCGAAGTTTTAAAATCATCTCCGAAATGGAAAACCGGAATACAACACTGAATTAGAATATATTTTTTTATTTTTTTATTTCAATTAAATACACCTTTATTTTATAGAACATTTCAAGATGAACAAATATCAACAATAAAAAAACGTCTTCCATTTTCTAATCGACTTATATGAGTCCAACATGATAAGTGATTCTTTATTTATAGGATATGAAAAAAAACAGTTCTAATATATGTACATATAAAATGTCCTGTGTGTTTTTCGTTTTCGTTTTTGAAAACAAAACATTTCTGTGATTTTTCTTTTGTTTTTTTTTTGTTATTTTTGAAATCGGTGTGTCTATCTGTTATTGATTATTCTGCATTTTGCAGAAATTTCTTTTTTTTTCTATTTGTATAGAAAAATAAACTAATATGAATGAAATCATTTTTATAGATTCATTTAATTTTGAATAAAATGTCAGCTTATTGCTTACAATTAATTAAATATAATGTACAAAAACTATCAATAAAAAATACATATCGACAATTTCATACATCGATCTTATACTTATCTAACGATATATTTCATGTACAAGATGAAGCAGATTTTCAAAAACAAGTTCTTGATAGTAAAAAACCATTTCTAGTCGATTTTCACGCTAGTTGGTAAGAATTTTTTATGTTTAAATTATGATAAAAGATTTACATTTTAAGGTGCGGACCATGTAGAATTTTAGGTAATGAATTTCATATAAATAATAATAATCAATGTAGTTTTATATATTTTTAAATAGAACCTCGATTAGAAAAATTAATTACAAATTATAATAATAATGTTAAAAATTCAGACGGTGATCAACATATTACATTGGCAAAAGTTGATGTAGATAAATTTGGTGAATTAAGCAATAAATATAAAGTGAAAGCAGTACCGACAGGTACGAGTCACCTTTTCGTGTCAACGAATATTTGAAAAACTAGTATTTTGTTAGAGACCCGAGATGCTTACTACTGTTAATCAGTATGAATATTTTATCAAGTCTGATTTGAAGATATCATCTTTCGTATGAACAGGAGGCGATGTATGCATAGTAAAAACGCAGGATTGTATGTCTATTTACAAAGACTTTAAAAATTTATTAATATTCTTCTAGAGCAAACTGATAAATAATAATGATTAATGAAAGTTTAAAACAAAATTTTTCCTCTATAAATTTCTACAATTGAAATAGTTTCATTTGTCAATGTCTTTCTAGTATTGGCTATTAAAAATGGTAAAGAAATCGATCGATTTACCGGCCTTATTGATGAAGATCGAATTGAAACAATACTTGATCAACTCAATCGTTAAATAAATCAAACGAAAAAAAAAATCTACTTATTTTTCTTTTCCATTTATTGTAAAATGATTTACAAGTTTGTTTTGTTTTTCGTCTAATTAAAATCGTTCATTTGTTAGTTGTGAATATTTTGCTGAATATTGATTTAATGGTATATGATTAAGATAATTCATATCTGGTGGAAATGGTGGTGCTTGTGGTGGATAAACAGCCATCATTACAGGTATTGGTCCTTGGCATGGATGAGAAGCAAGTGTACAAGATTGATGATGATGACTAATAGTCATAGGCAATAGATTCTGATTCGATTGATAAACAGGTGCCATAACAGCTTCAGCTGGTTTTGTTATTTGACATCGATTTGCTTCTGATACTTTTGCATATATTACACAGTAAATAATTAAATAAATCAGACAAGTAATTGCCATAAGGATGCCAGATACAAGTTGAACTACTATTAAAGATATACGAGTATTTCCACAACCATCTGAAACACCATCTACTAAACATTCAAGTGGATTTGATATATAACTTGTCCATGCTAATGTTTGACATATTCCTTCACTAAAGAAACATTTATTAGGTTCTCGAATAAAAACAGTATTAAATCCAATTAAAATACAAGCAAATATTAAACCAAATATATTTTGTATAACAGCATGTGTTGCACAACTTCGTCGACGACAACAGCAAACTAAATTAAAAATTAAAAATTTTTTGTTTAAATTAAAAAAATGAAATAATATTTTCATATTTCAAAATAAGTTCTTACCAACAGCAAACATCGATATCCATAAAATAGTAAATGGTATTGCTGTCCAAAATCCAACAAATAAATTAGTTAATTTTATATGTAGAATATTATGTCCGATTTCAAGAGCAAATATAACAAATGTAGTTAACATTTGTATAACAGCTAATGTTGCTACAATTGATAAAGGAAATTTATCATTGAAACGTTGTTCTTTTGTATTAGAATATCCTGTTGAATATTGTTCATACATTCTAAGACAATGTCAAATAAGAACTGTAGTAAACGCGAATGAAAGGATTCGAATATTTTAAATGATTATATGTATATATATATATAATTTTTTTTTATTCTTTTATTAATGATGATACACGATCCTGATCTGCTTGTATGTGAGCATGCGTATTGTGATCCAGTTTCTATGTGAATTTAATCAGTGAATATAAGCAGCTGTAATAAAAAAAGACACTACTAAGCTCCCATATAGTAAAACAAAGATATAATCTTGAAATGATTCAGAAATCATCTGAAGTATTGATTCAAGGTTATATATGATATTATTTTAATTTAATGAACGCAATATAATTTTTGATTTATTTAGATTTTTAAATAGAAATTTACATTCAGATGGTTATGCCTTACCTTGTTATTAAAATTCAAAAACAAAAATTTCTTTTCAATATTTCTACACAAAGTATTGTGTCAATTGAAGATATGTGGCGATACTATATTGATAATTGTTCTTGTTACAAATTTGACCTATGACTATGTGTTAAGTGATTAACAGTCAATATAAAAAGTCACACGTTCTGTCTAGTCTTTTGTTGATTTAGATGGATTGATATGCTTTGTTATACTGCCGTAATTTATCAATAAACATGTCTTATCATTATACTGATGTCTTTCTTTTTGTCAATCACTTTGAATTTTGTTGCATATAAATAGTCAAAAATCTTTTACTAATCTTGTTACAATTAAGAGTACTTCTCCAGTGTTTCTGAAGAACAGCTAATTAGAGAAATTTATAATTTTCAGAGCAGGTACATCTTTATGAGTAGACTAAAAATTGTCATTCCGAATGCTATCTTGTCTGAGATGCTGGAATCACAATGAGTTCTGTTTTCCAAGATGTTACGCTCGATCGACCTGAAAATGTTTTTTTTTTATAAGCACTAGATATTGTTGAAACTAAAAAGTATTCATCTCACACAGTATCTAATGTTTCAGCTTGGTTGGGCGTACTCGGCTGGAGAAACGAAAGCATTTCTGGACTTTTTTCGTGAAAATATTGGCTTGAAAAGATGCAATTCGCTATTTCTGTTACGTAAATTTTATTTTTTTTGGACGTTTAAGAGATAATTTTAGGATTCCGAAAAGTTCATGCTCGTCAAAACGAAAATAAAAATTAAGATAAATATTTGGGAAGATAGTCTAGGTTGTGTTTTTTTTCAGAAACAACATGGTGTTTTATTTGACGTCAAAACTTTTCGATGAGTTTAATCATTTTATGCTGTAAAAAATACAGTTTCTCAGAAAAAAACAAAAAATATTCTTCGTTTTAATGTTTATGCTTTTTTTATCGCGCATCTCAGATTTCTCTGTGAGCCTTCATTCTATATATTTCAGTTTTTTTTGTTTGGAAGAGCATGTCAAGGTGCAGCGCGGTACAAAGTCATTTTTTTTTAATTAAGCTTTATTTTTATTATACATACAAGCACTTATATAAATAGACATCCATTATTATAGGGTTTTTTGAGTCATTGACCTTGTGTTCCTTTTTCTCTACTTAAAAAGTAAGAATGTAAAAAAAAAAGTTTTTTACTGCACTACATCCTAACATACTCTTTCAAAAAAAAAAAAAAAAGGTAAGTATATAGAATGAGCTTCGACAAAGAAATTTAGTTTGCCAAATGAGCGTTGTTTGGTGAATATCTCGGTCAAACGTCATGGTATAGAGTAGAAAATTTTATAAATAGCTTCTCCAATATATATCCAACACAGTCTTCAAACTTCAAGCGATTGCAATGTACGTGGCACGAAATCAATTGGAAAGGAGGCTTTCAGTTGACTGAAGAACTATGCATCAATTTTTAAGCTCTATGCAATGTTGAAGAAAACATAGCTAAATGAGATCCCAACATTTATAAATTTAATTCAAGCAGAACTTTAATAATATAGAAGTTCAAATCTCTGAAAATATTGATTTATCTTCACCATCGATTTCAAATTAATGGCGTAACCAAGGGTGGGCTAGACCGAGCGTCGTCCTACTATTAGAAGAAAGAACAACCTAATAATTACCATTATTGACATTATATTGCATAGATTACTTCGAAGATCATAGAGCACTGTCCTATTCCCTAGGATCTTCTAGTTACGTCACTATTTCCAACAAAACGAAGAGTTTTAAGTTCATTTCGAATTTCTACAACATTTTATATCGATCTTTTTTTTTCTTTCACATATTTAGTCGTTTTATCAAAATAAACATTAATTCATTTCCGATAAATTGCTGTATTTGAATATCATATTGACTTGCGAAAAAGTTAAAAACATGAAGTATGTCGAAACATATATATATATATTTTTATGAAACAAAATATCAATGTTTATTGAAAGTTTGACATTAAAATCAATTACTTCCTTTATCCTATCTTCAAAAACTATCAGATAATCATTAAATCAATCCGCCTTTACAACATTTTGTATTGATCATCGATTAGTTATATGTCAACAAATATTTTTCTTGATCATCATCAAACATCGATATTATATACAAATTAAGTTTTCTTAGTATTTTAATTTTAGTTGAATGTATTTTTCTAAATAAACTATTTAAAAAAACTGTCTCAGTCAAAACTCATGATTTATTGTTATAAGAGCTTTAAACTTTATTTAACATAATTTATTTGTTGTATTATTCACAATTTTCTTTCGATAAAATTTTTGCCCGTTTTTTTCTTCATTCATATATTTAGTAACAGTTTTTTTTTATTATTCATAAAGTAATGATTAATCTTATTTCGATACAAAAAAAAGAAGTAAAGAAAAATGGCAAAAGCTTTCTAAAATTTCAATTCTATTGTTAAAAACTAAAAAAGA